ATAGAAATACTCTTAGAGAGTCAAATAATAAATGAACCACTAGAATATACTTCAAAACCAAGGGGAAATTTTTTTAAACTAACATTTTTTAAAAACTTAATTATATATACATATATTTTATATTTTAAGGTATACAATTACAATATTACATTAGTCATATCATGCAAAGGAAGTACTTTTAGAACTCTTGAGAGTTAAACCAAACAAAATTGACACACATCTGAAATTGAAAAATCTGAACTGTTCATAAGAAATCATGATCAGCAAAAGGCAGATAGATATGTAGACAAACATTAAGGGACTGATACAGGAAGGCAACAGTTGTCATTATTCAGGCAACACTGTTCAAGACAGATGAACTCCCGTCCCAAAAGTGGTCTCCTCCAGTTACTATAGAAGACAAAGCCAAGAGAGTACATAAAAACCCTGGGGTATCCTCATGGCATTTTCTCCTTGACAGACTAAATGGACTCATGGTTTTCAGTTACCCTTGACAGCTCACAATGAACTGTGTGCCTCATGTTGGCTTTTGTCTGATGCACTTGCTTCTCTTGATTTGGATAGTCTAAGCCTTGCCTGAGAGACAAACCAGTGCGTTGACTGGGGCAGGACTAGAGCTGTTATTTGATTGGCCAACCGGTCTCCCTTGCCAATTTTTCTATGAATGCCTCCAACAAACTGCAAAATATTTATGACAGCCATAATTTCAGATTTTTTGTGTTTTGCAAACATGTAAATAACATGTAAATACAACATCATTTGAACATTGTTTTTACAACATGTCATAATTTATATAATGAAATTTATGTGGTCCTCTTCAAAATTGTCATCTTTATCACTATTTCATTATATATTTATAATTATGCTTCTGCTGCTCAAAGCACTTACATTTCCCTTCATTAGGAGATGTCTTTGTAGTCTGCAATAAAAATAATATTGAATGTCAATTGTAATTGAAAAATAAAATTTAGCCTTGGCTGGTGTGGCTTAGTGGATTGAGTGCCAGCCTGCAAACAAAAGGGTTGTTGGTTTTATTCCAAGTCTAGGGCACATGCCTTGGTTGTAGACCAGGTCCCCAGTAGGGGACATATGAGAGGCAACCACATACCAATATTTCCCTCCCTTCCCCTCTCTAAAAATAAATTAATAAAATCTTTAAAATGTCTTTCTTTAAAAAATAAAAATAAAATAAAATTTGTAATACATTTTTGAATGATAATCTAAATTTAAATTGCACTTGACTGTTAACAAAGTATGATGAAAATTGTCTATACTTTCAGTGTACATTTGCATGTAATTTTGAGATAGGGTCAAAAGTCATTTCCAAAACAAGTCCAAATAACTAGTCTTTGGTAATATGACTTTTAATTTAAAGCAAGCTACTATTGCTCTGACCAGTGTGGCTCAGTTGGTTGGAGCATCATCCTGTAAACTGAAAGGTTGTGGGTTCTTTCCTGGTGAGGGCACATGCCTGAGTTGTGGATTTGGTCCCTAGTCAGGGCACCAAGGAGAGGCAACCCATTGGTATTTCTCTCACATCAATGTTTCTCTCCCACTCTTTCACCTTCCCTTCCTCTCTCTCAAAAAATAAATAACTTTTAAAATAAATAAATAAAGCAAGCTACTATAAAATAATGGCTAAAAAGTAATGAACTGCTATGAACTTATGAGAATAAATTTACATGCTGTTTTTAAAGGTAATTCTATAACAAGAATTTAAAAACACTTTGATCAAAGGCAGAATGTTTATAATAAGAGTTTGGTTTCCATAGGTAGCTGTTTTGACACATCACACCCATTCTGGTGTATAAGTTCTAGCATATTTGTTTCAAAATCTCTTACTACTTTGTGTGTAATAATTACAAACTTATCTTAAATTATCTTATTATTAACCTGAGACTCACAAAATGCATTTCTTTGCTTGATTTCCATCTTAAATCTTGATATTATTTGCTCTTTGCTCTTACTTGAGATTTATTTGTGGAGTTTATTGCAGTCCCAAGTTTATCAAGTCTTGAAAGAAATCTGTGGCATTGTACACTTGGACTCTCAGGGGCTCTAACAATTCCTCAAGTATACATCTAAACTTCTGGTGTGGATACCATGACTATATTTATATTAAAGTTGAGTCATCTGACACATGGTTTGATATACAATCTCACGACTAAACAGAATATGGGAAGTGTGGGGCATGAGAGAAAAGACAGAGAAAAAGCTGAATAATTACCTTCAAAGTTATTAGAAAAGGTAGATTTAGAATATTGGTCAAAATTGCTCTATTGGTAAACATTTATAAATTAATTCCATTGGTATATGAATAATAAATTCTATCCAAATATATCATGTCTAGTTTAAAAACATCTTCCTATTTTTAAAAACCTTTAAGTTAATGTACTTGTTTTCCATGATATTCATAAAGTGTTTGAATTTTTGTGTGAAGTTCTCTTTTACATTATGTATAAATACATGTATACTATATAAGCATTATGTTACTTCCAATGTCCCTCGAATTTGTATTTGATATGAAACCTATGCAAAATTAAATACTTAAATCTTTCCCAAACTTTATCAGCTTTTCCAATAACCAAACCTAAACAATGAGATATTCAATATAACCTGTAACCCAGACCATAATAGGCTTTACTCTTTTATGAAACAGATACCAAAGGTACCATGTTTAGAAAGTTAAATTCTAAGTCATTTAACAACAAATGATATAAGCATATGACATTTTTGTGTGTGTGTGTGTGTATCTGGTAAGGCCATTTCCAAAGAGACTTTACCTAATTTAAATTCTCATCTGAGACCATTCATTATGTATACAGAGTGATAGTATATTCGACGAAGGTGAATTGGTATATTATATAAACAAGGTACATAGTATTATAAAAAATGTAAAAGTATGGTCATTGATGATGATATAGTATCAACTAACATTTATGGGCTAAACACTTTATATACACTGTCTCAACAGATTAACTCCAGTGGAATAGGTCTTACTAGTTTCCAAGTTGTAAAGGTCAAGTCACACAAACACAGAGATGTTAAGTGACTTCCTTCAGGTCACACAACTACTAAGTACAGATTTAGGATTTGAATCCAAACAATCTGAATCCAAATCCTAACACTCTTGACCGCTAAGCCACACAGTCTAATCCAATGCATAAAATAAGTATTTACCCTTTCAGAATTATAACACAGAAAGAAGTTTATAATCACAGATACTTCAGGAAACCATCAATTTCTGTAAATAGTAGGAACTTAACTTTAAAAAATATACCTATGCTTAGAACAATTTATTATGAAATAGTTTGGAAACAGGAATGAGTATGCTCTTAACACAGTGAGCAGCCATTATAATATTTTTTTTACACAAATCAACCTGAGGGCACTTTTAAACCATACTAAAATCTATAAGATGATCTGGAGGGGGAATTTTTTGATAAAACAATAATCTCATTTAAATCAACAATAAGCTAATTTGAAGCCCCTTGGTACTTACAAGTAGCCATGAGGTGTTCATTCTCCTGAAAACTTTAGTTTTAGACTGTCTGGCATTGGCATTCCTCAAAGTGCTCTACCAAAAAGTCTACAGTGTATGCCAATGGGCACTCTGATTTTGGAAGTAGAAGAAAAATAAATCAACAGATAATCCAAATTTTATAGATGGTGTAACAAAAGGTGCTGAATAACATCAACACAAAAAGATAATTTAAAAGAGTAAAGTCCTCTCCCATTCACAGCTCTTCTTCAATTGCCCATGATCTTTCCCTAGCACTGAGTTCCAGGCTTACTGCACATGCAGAGAATTAAACAGGTACATATGGGAATATGTACCTAAGTATGTTGATTCATTGGATAATTATGAATCAGGCTGTACTTATTTATTTATGCAAGTATAACAGAAAAAGAAGATACAGTATCCAAAGAACTCTTCAAATATGAAATGCTACACATAGAATTTAAACTCTATTTTAAAGAAAACCTTGTTAGATGAAATATGCATGCTTTTATGGATCGTCACATGCAAAGTAGAATTAAGTACAATTTTTAAAATGTCAGTTGGATATAACTTCAGTATCTAATCCCAGGCTCCCCATTTTCATGCTAATTCTATCACTTACCCCTTTAAAAATTTATAGCTTGTGGAATTTATAGCTTTTAAAAAATAAATCAATGGCCCTGGCTGGTGTAGCTCAGTGGATTGAGTGTGGACCTGTGAACCAAAGGATCGCAGTTCAATTCCCAGTCAGAGCACATGCCTGGGTTGCAGGCCAATTCCCTGCAGGGAATGCACGAGAGGCAACCATACACTGATATTTCTCTCCCTCTCTCCTTCCCTTTCCCTCTAAAGATAAATAAACAAAATTTTAAAAAAAATTTAAAATAAATAAATGAAAAGGTATTTCAAGGGTTTTGCTTTCATTCTTTAAAGGAAGAACAATGGAATTGCAGCAAATACTTATTAGACTTAATTATAAAAACTTAATTTAAGTATATAAGTACCCACTTCACTCCTATCCCCTAAAAAAAGGTCAAAAATTCAGTCAACAAATGTTTTCTGAGCACCTATTACATGCAGGCATGGCAGTAGTAGTATGTGGACCAAGAAGTCATCTAAATTTCTAAGGCATGAAGGGGAGAAAACAAAGAACTAAACTTAAGTATTTCATTAACAAGTTTATAATTCATCAATTTCTTAGAAAAACCTAAGAAAACAGTTGCACACCAGCACATTTGGGTCTTGAGAGCATGATTTTTCAGTTGTTAGTTAAGGCTTCAAAGTTAAGCTAAGGCTTTCTATCAAAACAGTTCATTCTTTTATCTCTTCTTAATATTTTCGCTTTTATTCCACAAAATCCAGGTTCTCTTCAGTAACAACGAATGATATAGCACATCTGTTAAAAAACGATTCCTCTTTCCCCAAAACCAGCCCATACACTGGCCCTCCTTTTTCGTGGGCACGTGTCCTTCCAAAGCTCGACTGGACACCCTCTCACCTGAAAAAAAGTTTGGAGACGACGCTGGCCTTTTCCAGAGGCGACCGCTGCATGGTCTCTGGGGACGCCGAGGTCCCTGCCTGGCAGCAGGGCTCGAGCTCTTAATACCAAACGCCCTAGTCTTCTTGCGGCCAGCCGCTCACCCCTTTTTCTTTGACCTGCAGTGATGTCATTTGCTTCCAACTTTCCCCACTACCCTACCCCACGCACCTCCCCTTTCCTCTTGCTCCTTTCCCCGCCTCCACTGCCCAGGTTAAAAGCTGGGCACCGCCTGGTCCGGCCCCACTTTTGCTCTAGCGGTTTTCTCCACCCCCTCCCCACCCCGGTCCGCACCCCGACCTTTCCTTCCTTCTCGCCTCCTTCCCTCCCTCTCCGCCCGCGCCTCCCCTCTCCGCATTCTGCCTCCCTGCCTTCCTCCCAACCCGCGCTCCTTCCAGGACCTAGTCCGCGCCGTGCAGCCCCCGCCCAGCCCGCAGGTGAGGACAGTACTGGCTGCTCTCCAAGTCCAGCCACCGGCTGTGGTGGACAGAGGAGCCACGGGCGAAAGCAGAGCCGGTCCTCAAACCAACCCCCCTCCGCGTCCGGGTCTCCCGGACCCTCCTACTCACCAGGTTGCACGGAACCTCCTCACGCAGCCACCAAGTTCCCGGTGCCTTCCTCCTCCTCCCTTTTTCCGAGGTCCTAGCCGAGTTTCTGTCACTTTTGCAAGGTGCATTGTGAAAGGAGAACAAAAATATGTCTCGCCTATATCAAAATGCAGCCTTAGAAAGCCGGAACGTCCCGCGGCAATGCCTGCTGTGTTTCTCTTAGCTCATCAATTGAGTGTGGGGGAAGAACGAAGCTTTATTAGTTTCAGGCTCAAGTAAGTTCCAAGTGTGGCTTAGACCCCTTAGGTGACTGACTGCTTCGGGGTAGAGCGGAAGGGAGGATTCATCCCGGGAGGTAAAAGGAGTTGTCCCTTTGCCCATTACTCTCCCAGGATTTGTTCATTGTCTGTCCTAAGTTTTTCAGTCCTGCTTGAGTTTTTAAGAAAAGCTGTTGTGTGTGTTAGAGAATACGATGACATGTGGACAGTCTGCAAACTAACCCGCCCTCATATAGATTTCCTAGTCTCGGTCAGCAAAACATCTTGACTCACATGCTGAAAGGAATGCAAACAGTCTTTGAAGCAAAAGTAGCCGTGAACTCTGACCTGACTGGGGGAAACGCCATCTTCAATCTTCCCAAGGCAGCTAAGCTTTCTTCCCCAGGTATGGGCGCCTCAGCTTCCCCCAGTCTTTGGTATTCAGATTGTGGGCCTGGCTGATGGTTTTTAAAGAGCCGGGCCTTTAATTCCTGAATCCTATCGTGTAAAAGCAAGAGCTTATTTAGTTGTTTATTATTATTATTATTATTATTATTATTATTATTATCACTGTTTTGAATCCTCACCCAAGGACATGGTTATTGATTTTAGAGAGAGGGGAAAAAAGGAAAAGAGAGAGGGAGAGAAACATTATGTGAGAGAGAAACACTGATTCCCTCACAGGTGCCTGGACTGAGACCCAACGCAACACAGGTAGGTATGTGCCCTCAATGGAATCCAACCTATGATCTCAGTTTATGGGGAGACATTCCAACCAACTGAGCCTCACCCACCAGGAGAAGAACACAGGTGAGTTTAAACTGAAAAATTCAAATGAAAGTAGAGAGTTTGGTCTGATTACTTTATTGCCTCTACTTCTAAGGCAGGAATATTTGCCTGTGAAATACCTTATTGTTGACTGTGGTTACCCAAATACAGTATAAATAAAACATCCATTTCATAATAATAGAAAGATAAGCACATTTATTTAAATTGAATGTATTCGGTGAGTTTTTATAGCTCTCCTTTGCCTTTTAATATCACCTTTTCCTATCTTAAAGTGGGTTTTATAAACCTTTAAATTTTATTATCCTAAATTTTAATAGTAGAGAAAATAAGATCAAAGAGATAAACCAAATTGCATAAAGCCAGAAACCAGGAAGGAACTTGCATATTTCTAACTCATGATCCTTCCTGTAAAGCCTGCACCCATGTTTTCTTCTCTCCAGTATGACATACAAATTAGGGCCCTGTCTTCATTATTGACTTTTCCCAAGTATGTGATTGAACTTCACCACCCCACTCCATTGTTTGCTTTGTAACTGCTAGAGTGACCCATCAAATATAATTCATTTTGAAATAAATTAGTAATCAGTTCCTCTTTGTTAACACAAAGTGACAATAAAGAGATTAAGAATTAGTTCCAAAAAGAGATCATAGAAACTGAACAAATGATAATGGTTCAAAGAGACTCCCAATATTTGCCTATCATCTCCTTCCTCTGGAAAGAATGAATTAGTCACTATCTCTTGAACTCATGCTATATGCTAAGCATAATGTTATATAGGCCTTACAACAACTATGTAAATAGGTGTTACTCTCCCCAGTTTTCAGTTGAGGAAACAGACAAGAAAAGTTAACTAAATGCCTGGGGTGATAGAGCTAAGATTCATATCAGGTCTAATTCTAAACTATCACTCTATCAATATGTCGTATTGCTTCTAATCAAATCATCCCTTGTGTATTTATATATACTATCATTTACACACAAACTCAGCCTTTCTCCTCACACATAGTTTCATAAAATCATTACTGCTAGACCTATTCTAGCATGAGACAAGAAAGCAGAAACCTATTATACAAGCCAAATAGCTACTGGAGTTATTTTTAATAAATAACATTTAATTATAATATTCTATTTTAAGTGTGTGTATACATATGTACCTAGGAAGACCCATTTTTTACAATGAAAAATTACATCCCAAGTTTGTTCTTAGCATTAGTGAGACTTCAAGATAATTCTGATTGTTAACATTATAAGTAGACATAAACAAATGAACTGATTGAGACATGATATTAAAGATTTGCATCTAGGTGCTACCTCATTTGGGAATTGTAGATTTATGTACTAGGAAGATGTTCAAATATGGCTGAAGTTCATGACTGAAATCTTGAATGTAGCTTTGAGATGTCAATCAAGAACAGAAAAAAAATCAATGACCAGATGAGAATAGAAGGTGGTAGTAAGAAACAGTGAAGTTCTTCTCTTCAACCTGCTCAAATATAGTTCATAAAATTTTGTTATAATATTATAATGCTTACATTTTTGGTACTTACCATATATACTTGGTGCCATGCCAAATACTTAAAAAGGTATGCTTTTCCTTTTTAATTTTTATAGCACCTTCATGGGACTGGTACTTTCTTCATTATCCATGTATTATAGGTACAGAAACTAAAGAAAAATTACTAAAAAGCTTAGTAGTTTTCCCAAGAAAGTTGCAGAGTAAATAATAACAAAGAAAATTGAGATTTGAACCTAGGCAGTCTAGTGCCTGAGCTCAAGCATTTAACCACTATACATACTTCTCCCAGAGAATTTCCTAATGTTTTAAGCAGAACTGACCTTAACTATGGAAATATTAAGTGGCCATTTGTATGGCATTTTTTATTTTTTTTAATTCTTACCTGATGGTACATTTACTGTTGCTAGAGAGGGGAAGGATGAGAGAGAGAAACATCAATGTGAGAGAGAAACATTAGCCAGCTGCCTCCTGTACACACCCAGGTATGGAATCCACAGCCCAGGTATGTGCCCTGACTGGGAATCAAACCCATGACCTTTTGGTGCAGGGGAGGATGCTCCAACCAACTGAGACACACCAGTCAAGGCTAGCTGTATGGCATTTTTTTAATGTGGTAAAATACACATAAATTTTGGTTAGGCACAGTTCAGTAAAAACCACCCCAATAAAGAAGAAAATATCATCAAAAAAGAGAAGTACAAAGTCTTATCAGTATCACATGGATAGGCTGATTCTGCTTATAAATCAAAGCTAGAAGGGTGAAAGCAGCCAAGGCTCTTCCACAGTGATGGCCAAAGGTACAAATATACATTGTAGTCTTGCAGAGATGTTTCCTACCCAGAAGGAGGTGTCCTGATATATGATTAAGCCTGATTGTTTCCTTTTACATCTTCCAACATTGGGAAGATGTAAAAGGAAAGATTTGGGCGGACAATTCTGCTTATAGACATACATGCACACATACTTCTGTTTATGTACATACATAACCCTTCTTCCTCACAACCTCCTTGGAGACAAATTATGTCTTCTGTTTTCCTTTCAACTTTTATTTAGTAATACAGTATGTAAAATCAAACACCTATCTCTTGGGGTATAACGATCTAATAATTAAAATGTCACTGTAAAGAGGAAATTGGAAGATTTTCAAGAGGTAAAATGTCACCATTACTCTTTCAGCAAGCAAGAGCTCAGTACTATGTACAGCATGTATACAGAATAAGACAGGATCTCCACCCTTCAAAACTCAGAATCTACCAATGGTCATCAAAATTCTCTGAAGATGGTATCAGAGTACAGTGGAAAGAGCTTGGGCTTTAAGGCAATAAAGAGCTAGGTTCTCAATCCACTGGGCACCACTACTTACTTAGTTATGTGGTCTTGGTTAAGTGACTTAACTTTTCTGTGTCTCCTTCCCTTTTCTGAAAATAAGGTTAATAACAACCACTTCATGCACACTATAGTGAGTACAGGCAACAATATTGTATTATAATCATCATAGGCTGACAGGGACCAGAGAGGATAGGGAAGGGAATTTCAGGGTAAAAGGGGAAGAGTTTACAGGAACAACTATAAAGGACACATGGACAAAAACTAAGAGGGGTGGAAATGGGAGGGAGGTGGGGAGCACTGGGGGGCAGTGGGCTGGAATGGGAGTAAAAGACAGAAAACTACTTGAACAATAATTAAATTAAGAAAATAAAAAACATTGTATTGTAATCATCGAACTTGCTAAGAGACTAGAACCTAATTATTCCAGCTCCTAAAAAGACAGTATAATTATTCAAGGTGATAGAAATGCTAATTATTACTATAATGACAATCAGATTTTAATATATAAATGTATCAGATCAACAAGTTGTACATCTTAAATTTATAAGATGTTATATGTAAAATATATTTTAATAATAGAATAATACCCATCTTATGAGGTTGTGAATCCATTAAGTCAGGTTCTTTCTGCCTCAGTACTATTGACATTT